AAATATTGAATAATAATCAAATGTTTGCAGCAGAGTTTGGTACAAGTGATCGTCAGAAAGAGTTAATGATTTGCGTCATTTTTTTAAAATAATATAATAATTCAAAATTCTATTATAATAGATAAATAATTTTATTTATAAGATAAAATTTTTTCTTGATTAATTAAAAAATAAAAATGTTTTATTGATAACATATATCAATTTTAGATGAAAATTTTAAAGAGATATACAAAACTAGAGTTCCAATTCATTATCCGTTTATCTGTTTATCCATTGGATATCCAGATATCAAATGGATAATCAGATAAAATAAATTAATGAATAGATAACCAAATTATCCAATAAATTATTCGGATTGATGCAAGGAGTAAGTGTTAATGCAGGCTGGCCCAATATTCTTTTTCTTCTGTCTAAAATCCAGCAGCCTGGTTGGTGGTACCCCTCACCCGAGGTTCTTGCCTGCCCGAATTCTTCACATTGGTATTCATTTCCTAGGTCTAGCCTTTACAGTAGTACTATCGAAGATCCATGTTACCTCTCTGCTCGGAATTTCCAAGTGGGCTCCAGCTTCCCAGTTCTACAGATTTACACAGCCCAAGGACTTATTTTAGGTTTGCACCGCCTGGTACCAGTTTGCATTCCTCTGTGTAACAGGTTACACAGATGCCCCAGACCTGCCAGTCATGCTGGTGCGACCATAGTTACAGGTATCCTATCTCAACTGATCGACAAAATGCTGTCACCGTAATACCATCTATATATTACATAGATGATTATCTAAATTTCGCTGTCAGTGGGTTTTGAACTCACAACCTACTACTTGGAGGTATGACAACTTATCCACTTCACTAAGTTACCACACTCTGACTTAACCAGATTTTGATTTTTCTATTTTTGTAAAAAACCAAGAACATTATACTATTTTTTAAAACATTACACCTTTATTTTTGCTTCACAAACCTGCTAATAAAGCAGAAACTTACTTCTCTGACAACAATAATACTGTTGAAATCTCTAAACATTATAGTTTCTATTACTACTTCTATTTTTATGCCTTTCTCAGAGCTGCTACTGAAATTGATGAAATTAATAATCTTAATGAACATCAGGTTATTAACAAAATTATAACAAAACCAGTCAATACATATTTTCTTGCCCAAGTGATTACTTACTTCCATATTCTCAAATAATCAATAATTTCTATATCAGAAATTCTTGAAATATACAAAACTACAATCTATCTACAAGCCCAAAAAATCCTCTAAAAAAAATTTAAAATCAAATTTCAATCTTTTAAAAAGTTTAAAGATAATTTTTTTTTTAATTCAAAATCTAGCAAAAATAATAACAAAGTTAAAAAAAAATTATCCTATACAGAAACCCTCTAACAAGAAACTACTACTACCTATTCTCATAATTTTTTTTAATTAAATTTTCTGTAAAACCCATAAATGCAATTACTACTTCTGAAATTATGATGTTCTCCACTGAACATGGGCCATTTACAGAAGAGAATGATGTAAGTAGACAGATGGTTAAGTTCATTTATGTGAAGAACCAAGTTAATAATAACCAGATTCAATGTACAGAGCAGGCTATAGCACTCTTCATAGCTGTGAGAACCAAGTATACAATGAGTGAATCTACAGAAGAATCTTTCATTTTCTTGAATTTCATTTTATTATTAAACATCAAGAAAGCACTACAAGAATCAATTTATGACCCAGACTTATACTATAACCAATGGCTAGCATGTCTAAATCTACCTCTACTTCCATATTTACAAACACTCAACTCTTTTTTAAAAAACATCTATCAATACAACTTTATACAATACAATAATTTTAACTATGCACTCAGATTAGCAATCAAACTTGACTATAGTGAATGCTATATACATCTACCACATATGTCTCAACTCTTACCTGACTACTTCTTTCCATATTTATCAGGTTATATCTACTACTCATCTATACATATTCCTTCTAAATTCTTTCTAAAAAACAATAATACATTAAATACTAATTTAATCATAAAGAATAATAAACTAGACAACACTTATTCTCAATTAGTAGAAACTATCTTAGAGGGCTATAATGAAACTATCATAGCTAATTGATACTATAACAACATCCAATTTAATACCTGCTACAACAAATTTCTATTTTACAATCATACACTATTACTTCCTTATTCTCAAACTATTATTACTTTTCTATAACACATCCATAGTTTTGACTACTTATCTGATAACTTATGTGACTATACATTAACTATATCAATTAAAAATGATCATAGTGAAGCTTATATTTACCTCTCATTCAAACCCAAACCTTTACCAAATCACTTTATTCTACTAGTTTAAGCTATTTGGCATTATTCAAATATTTAACTAAAATCAAATACACCAACAACAATCTTTACTATATAAACATTTCTAGATCATTAATTTTTTCTTACTCCTAACTATCTATCTCAAATAAATCCTGAACCTTTGAATTTATCAAGATCAGCTTTTTCAAGTTCTTCATCTCTTTCTACTTTTAACCAACCAGGACCAACACTTTATAGTGTACCTTACAAGAATATTTATCAAAAATATTTGCAAAACCTATATTCTGGCAATGTGTTATTTCAAAAACAAAACCAAGAATGGAACCAACATCATGAACTATTCAATATATTTTAAAGATCCTGAAACAGATGTATACACAAATACTATTGAAGGAAATTGGCTTGGAATAAAAATATTAACACCAAGCAGAAATAGGACTAAAGATAAGCTCCAACCATATCTATCAGAATATATATGACAATGGCAAAACATAAACAATCTGTAGGAAGATTTCCTATAATGCCTAAAGAGTTATCTATCAATAGAAGCCGAAGATAAACCTTTAGAGGAAAATAATGAAACCAAACAATTAGAAAATTTAAATAAATCCTAAATTATAAAAAGATCTCAAAAATAATCTTATCTAATATTCAAGAACCAACCAAAGAAACCAATAAATATATTCAATGACTACTTATGTATAGAAACTACCTTAAACAATCAAAACAATTCTAAAAGAAGAAATAGTAATAACTTGGGTACAGTAAGTGAAAGAATCCAATACTCAACTACAATTAACTTAAGATATCAAAAATATTGAACAGAAACTTGGAGTGAAGTTTAGCTGAAAACCAAAAACTTAACATGACTTAGTCAAAACAATGTCAAATTTGGCTTATCTAAGAAAGCACAACGATTCTCAAGAAAGAATAACAGAAGTTTCAGAGAAACTTTAAATAAATTTCAATCTTAAAGAAAATTTGGTGGATCAATTAGTGAAGCTATTAACCTTATAGAAACAGAACACTACATCACCCTGATATTGAATTATCTGGATAGGATGAAGAAAGTGTATCTCAAAGAACTCCAGATAGTAATGAAAAAATTATGGATATTAGAGCAACACCAGTATCAGGAAATAGTCACACAAATAACTCTTTAGTTAGATTCTTATAGATACCAAATAGAACTACATATGAATCAAGAACAACTACTCCAGAAGAAACAGGAAATGTACAGTGTAAAATATGCTCTAAAACATTTGAACAACATAAATATTGGGACTGTCCAAATACAATATGTAATAAGTACCAAGAAACAGGACACACACACCAAAATTGTCCAAATATTTCACTATTAAAGAAAGGAAATTAGTATGTTAACTTAATTGGAAATGATGAATATTATTGTAAATATTGTCATAAAAAAGAACATAAATGGTATTAATGCAAAGAATTATTATTGAACAAAGCTAATGAGCATAATAGTTGTGGATATGATCCAAAAGAAGTAACTGCAACAAGAATAAATCATTTAATTAACCTAAACTCTTCAACATCAAAATCAAAGAAGAACATTGTTGTAATTGTAAATTACCATTTACAAGAAATAATTTGATACCATTACAATGAAGAAACAATAGAATTCGACTGAAATGTGAAGAATGTGCATATGAATATGTAAGATACTTTTAACAAGATGAACCATGGAAAGTACAAGTAATAGAATGGTTAGAACACAAAGGAAAATTAATTGAGTGTTATCTTTGTAAAAAAAAAGAAACAAAAAGAGAATTTGCAAACTATAGAAATATATTCTTTTGTACTTAGAAAGAAAAATATACTTATTAAATATATTTTGATATAGCAAATCCCTGTTATAACTATACTTATAAAGGAAGGAAAGAACACTGGTTCAATACCAGACAGTTAGCAGGAAACTATACAACAGTCAATAAATCAATGACAAGAAGAATCTATAGCTATATTGCAAGAGGAGTAACAAACTTGCAAGAATTAGAACTTCTAAAAGAGGAACAAGAAGAAGATGAATTCTTTTATCCAGAAGTACCTCTCTTTTATAATGAAGAAAATAATAACATCAAAGAAGAAATAGCCTATAATCAAGCTATTACTGAGAGTTTAAATAATTTGAATAAAGAAAATACAAAAAGACCAGAAACATATGCCAAATGGTGTAAAGAAACTACTAAAGAACTAGAATGTACTCTTTGTAAAGAATGTCTTTTACCAACTAATATTAAAGAAGAAAGTAGTTATGTGAATATAACAAATATGATGGAAAAAGCTATTTATCTATACTGTATTAATTGCTATAATAAGGTATACTACTCAACACAATATTGTACCAAGTATATCCAAAACCCTCTGGGATCAGAAGAAGACCTAGCAAGAGGATTTTGTCAAGAATGTTATACCAAAGAAAAAGGAAAAGCTAAAGAAGCATTTTCAAAAGACTGCTTTTTTAATGAACTAATAACAACTAAACAAAAAGTATTAAATAAAATGCTTTGCAACTATTCTTTATGATTTAAATATTTAGAAAAAGCACTCTCTAAAGTAGAAACTAAAAATTAAATACTTCAGCAACAGGTAGACCAAGAGCATCTTATAAACCTAATAAAGTATGAAGGTCTAAAGAGAATAATCCAAAGAATAGTAGGAGTAATTGATAAATCAGTAGATTCAATTAATGAAAGTTTTAGTCAAGATTGACATATATACTTATTTGTATAATACCAAAGAGAAGCAAATGCAATAGTCAAAAGAGCTTGACAAGAAATAAAAGAGCTAAGACTTTCAACAAAACAACAAGCATTTAAAGAAGCAATGCAAAGAGGACAATCACAAACAAGAAGATTACCAAGAATTACAATTACTACAGTAATTGAAGATAACAATAATATAGAAGTAGAAGAAATTACCCAAGAAGAATTCTAAAAGAAAATTCCAAGCAGAACAAACTCTGCACTACCATTTCTAAGAATTGAAGATGAATTATTCAAAAGAAGATAACTGTACTACAAAAATAGTACCAATATTATTATCTAATTATTATTTAATATTTAAAATATAATTTAATCATATATAGTTTATCAAATATCATTAGTATTAAAATAGTCAAATTATTATTTATCAATGTAAACAAAAATGTTTAAAGCATGTGTTTATAATCAAATATTTATTGAATAAATATCACTAATTTAATGTATCTATAAAGAGATAGCACATGATAGCACTATGTGATGGATGGGGCATAGTAGCACCAAGACATCCAAAGATAGTACAATGATAAGATGCCCAGAGTAGGTGCAAAATAATAGCATTAATAAGACATCTGAGATAGATGCACAAAGATTATCATCTGTGAAATATGTACAAGATTATTAAGTGTCATTTGGGTCATGACACAAGATTATTAAAATTAACAGAGCATTAAGATTTTAACAAAGATGTATTAGAATTAACAGAACATTAAGATGCAAATATTTACAAATATTTAATTAATAATTAGGGTAATAATAGATATCTTTAAAAAATAGCATTAATAAAAATATAAAATTAGATTTTCATATAACAGAAAAAGTCTATTTAAAGACATAGAAATAATTATAAAACAACATAAACCAAAAAATAATTGAAATATTACAAAAGAATTATAACAAAATATTTTATTATGAACAGATAATAACAAGTTTAGAATTAACATTAGAACTTAAAGAAACTGAACAACATCAATCTTATAAAAAATACTTCAAATATTGATTGAAGAATAATCAACTTCACAAGAATTAATAGAAGCAATCAAAGAAATACAATAAAGTTTAAAGAAAGTTTGAGCAAACCTTAAAATTAGCAAAAAAAAATCATACTTAAAAAAGCAAAAGTATATAAAGAATTTGCAAAAGAAATTAATGAATCAATTGGAAACAATCAGTAAAAAAGAAGCTGATAAACAACTAAAATTCACAGAGATAGTACAAAGGAACTATAAAATAGCAAGGTACTGCGAAGACTTAGTATTTAGTCTACAAGCAATCCTACAAGAAGAAAAAAAAAATTAACAACAGTCATATTAAGACTTAATTGTGGAACAGATAAACCAAAGAAAGAATATGAAATATACTTTGTAACAGAAATAAAAGAAAGTTATAAAAATAGAAAAGAACAAATTATAGAATTAGTAAAGTACTTCTTTCATCAAGCATCAAAAGTAAATGATAAAACAATAAAAAAAATTGATGAACTCTTTGGAAGAAATTAATAAACTCTATCAAGAAAACATTTGAAGAATCAATTGATGAACTAAAAGAAACAGTTATAGAACAATTAAAAAAAAGAGAATTCTTTGAAGAAAGTATTATATTTGACAAAAATTACTTAGTAGCTAAAGAACATATCTGGAAAAAGTAGAACATAATATATATTCAAAATCTAATTAACAAAAGAAGGTCAATTAATAAAATAACTAAAGAAGATTGATATAACTATTATACAGAAGTTATAAAACTCAAGTGAACTATAAGATATCAAGATACCACAGACCAAATAGCAAAACAAGTCTCAGAAACAAAGACATACTATGACTGGTCAAAATTAGTTAAAGAAAAATTAATTGATAACTATGATTATATTCTATCAGAATATAAAAGTAGAAGAATATATTATTACAAACTAATAAGTCTTATACCAACATTAGTAGAAATATATAATCCAGAAGAAGTGAATGTACAAAATTTGTAGTCATTGTTTAATAGAACAAAAAAACTGTATTAGAAGTGAAGGACTCAGATCCTATGATAATTGTATAATAACAAGAAGATTCTGCAAGATAGAACCAGAAGAAAATATCTAAGAAAAGAAAAAAATCTTTTAAGAAAAAGATCAAAACCAGTAAAAGAAAACTGTGTAATCTGTAAGAAATTATAAACAGTAAATCAAGTAGATAAAACCTTTTTTTTAAATATTAAGGTGAGTACTTGTGATCCAGAATTTTATTGATAGTATATTTGGCTAATAGTTGCTTTACAACTACAGGGGGCAATCATGAAAAGAGTGTACAACTAGCCACTTGTACAACTTTAGTCATTGTCTAATTTAAGTAGTCTGCCCAAAGGTTCTACACTAGCTGCCATACCTGGAACCCACTTGTAGGTTCTCTGTTTAACTGCTCTGTTTCCATATCTACCTACTTACCTCTGTCTATTAATGACCCTGACTGATGCTAGTGAAAATATGCCATGGCCACCAAGTCTTTAAAGCAGTTCTTTGTAACTTTTGACCTTGTACTAAATCTTCCAGAATCTTCTGTATCCCATTCTTACAGCTGACCTGGTATCACTATGGCCAAGACCAACACTGGTAGTCAGGGCATACTATTAAACCACTATGTCCTTGTAGAGTTCACCCCAACCTCAGTACTTACTTCACAATATATCCTTACTACTTTGGTATTCAATTCAAGTTCTACCAAGCTGCCATTTCAGATAGCCTTAAAAGGTAGGGTAAGACTGTACCTCTGGTTTACATGTTTGCTGGCATGTACCTTTTTTCTCTGAAACCTAGAAATTCCAGTGGCCTAGTTGGTTCATCCAGTCCCTCCTCAAAGACCAGCACATTTGCCTAGTTTCACAAGTTCTAGCTCTGTTGCATAAGTCTAGTCTTTACAGTAGCACTATTGAAAGCTTAGGTTACCTCTTTACTCAGGTCTTCCAAGTGGGCTTTCATCTTTCTTCTATTAGTTTCTATAATTTACATGGCCACAAGAACTTATTGTAGGTTTGCACCATCCAGTACTGGTTTGCATTCCTTTGTGTAATGACAGACCTTGTCCCAAAGGACAATGTCATGTGATTGTTACACAAATGCCATGTGACCTGCCAGTCATGCTAGTGCGATATAGATTACAGGTATCTTATCCCAACCAATTGTGAGAGACAGTTAACTGTAATACAGAGAGGATTTTCAAATTTTTCATCGACACTGGGATTTGAACTCTGGACCTGCCACTTGAGGGTTGACAACTTAACCACTTCACTAGGTTGTCACACTCCTAGTAGATAAAACTTGTAGAAGTTGCAAAATAATAATCAATAGAAAAGAAATTGAAAGAAAAAATCAGGAATTTCTTGAATCAATAAAAATTTGACAAAAAACAATTCAAAACTGTGAACATTGTCTAGAAAGACATAAAGTGTGTATAAAGCAAACAAAAAAACAACTCTTTAACTTTAATGAAAATACATTATAAAAGTTGCAATAATTGCTCAAGAAGATATCTAAAGTGCCTAAGAGAAAACTCAAAACAAATTTGCAAAAATTGTATTAAAAGAAACAAAAAATGTGAAACATTACAAAAGATAAAAGAAAAATATAGAAATCAAGGACAACAAATATTAGAAATAAAAGCAAGAACAGGAAGATTAAGAAAAAGAAGATTTGGAAAGTGTAATAAGTATAAACACCACATTTCTTAAATCAAACAGAAACCTGTAAAAAGTGTTAATAAAAAGAAAATAAGGAAGAAAGATTTATAGAAGAAATCTTGAACTTTGAATGATACAAAAAAGTTGTCAAACTTGTATAACTAAAAGAAGAAAGTGTAAAAGAATACCATATTACAAAAAGTGTATTAACTGTGCAGGAGACAAAATAACCCATATACCAGTAAAGAAACCAGTTCACACATCTAAAAGAAAAAGTTGTGATAACTGTTACAACAGAAAGAAACAGTGTAAAAAAACACTAACAAATCAAAAGTGTAACTATTATAAAAAAGAAAATAAATATTGCACTTATAATATAAAAACAAAAAGAAGACAATATTATCATATGATAAAAGATTTGAAATTAATGGTAGTATACTGGGATATACTATTAGGAATAGAACAAGCAATCAAAGATTATCAATCTCAAACAATTATAAAAAAAAGCTTTAAAGAAAAGCTAAACCAATATCTAACAGACTTACCAGTAGAAACACTGAGAGGATTAGTTTGTAAACTCTTCTATATAGTATTAGAAAGAGAATCTAAAGAACTAACAAAAGTAGTTCAAGAAATAGATAAACAAACAGAACTTAGTAAATTGATATCAGAAGTAACATCTAAGATAGATGAACATACTATCTGAATTTTAAGAAATAATTAGAACAGTACAAGCAATAGCTGAACTCCAAACAGCAGCTAAAGAAATAGGACAATTTAAATACTTTTTAACACAAACAGAATTAAGAGTAGATACTATAAGAATAAATATAGAATTAGGAAGAATAACAACATTAAAAGATTTAAATAATTCTATAATAGAACAAGAATCCAATTTAGAGGAAATCATAAACTTAAACGAGTATATTGAAGGACAATATAAAGTTGTACTATATCAATTACTGAAAGATTTATATGACAAAATTATAAAAAGAGGAAATTCTAGAATAGGACCCAACTTTGAAAATTTAAGAAAAGGACTAGTTGAAGTATCAACAGTGATAAAGAAAGTAATACAACAAATAGATTAAGAAAGAGTATAATTATTAGGAGAAAATTTACTAATAATATTACCAAGAAATACTCAAGATTAGTCAGAAGAAATCTAAAGTATCTAACTTAACTATTAAGATACAAGAAGAAAATCAAAAGCAAATAGAAAAAAAAGTATAAAAGCATAGATTAAAGAAAAGAAAAAATCCAAACAATTTGAATATATTACACAAGAAATGAATATAAACAATATCATTGATAAAATGATATATTAAGAATTACAACAAACAGTAGAAAAAAGCTTTAAGAGAATTAAAGCTACAATAATAGTAGCAACAGGAGCAATAGCAGTCAGAATGACAACTGCATTATTAGAAATAAAAGACTTCTTTAAAAAGCAAGGAATCTAAGTATTCCAATTCAAAGCAATATCAAAAAAATTATTAAAATTATTAAAACTGATGTACTTAGCAAAACAAAACATATTTGCATTACAAATATTTATATTACAAGAATTTCAAAAGAATTTATTACAATTAAAGATATTGGAATTAGAAGGAAAAATTAATAAAAGGACAATAATACTCTTTGATAGAGCAGTATCAGATACTATAATATTCAAAATAAATAATATCTAAGATAAACAACAAATAAAAATACTAAGAGAAATAAGAAAAGATCTTAGTGAAAACCTGATCAACTAATATTTTTATTATTATTCTTCAAACCAACAATAAAAGAAATGCTTAAATAATTTAATAAAAGAAAATAAGAATTTAACAAACAAATATCAGAAGAATATCTAGTCAATATATATAACAGATATGAAGAAATAATTGAAATGATATATCTAAATTATATAGAAATTAACAACAATCACAAAGGATTGAATAACATACTTAAAACAATCTTCATCAAAGATCAAAGATTAAAAATAAAAATCAATTATATGATGAAACAGCATTAACAGAATTATCCATAATGTTATCAGAAATACTAATAGAACAAGAGCAAGAATATACTGTTGCAATATTATTTATAAAAAAAAATGAAAAATATTATATATTAACCTCACAAAAGATAAATATTATAATATACCAAAATCAATATCAAACATGTGGAGGCAAAAAAGATGAATTTGAAGATTTTAGAACATGTGCAATCAGAGTAGCACAAGAAGAAATCAATTTGAAATTGATAGTAGAAAGGATACAATTAATCCTAAAACATACTTATTATTCATACAATAAGTCAGAGACAAAACCAACAACAAACAAAGATTACCAAGATGATAAAATTAATCAAGCTAACTTGGTACAAATACCAACATATCTATATTAGGTACAATATAATAAATTAAACCAAATCAAAAATAATGAATCTGAGAAACAATCAAACTTTGAATGGCAAGATTATAACAATTTAAACACTTAGTGTTCACACCAACATTAATTAATAACATAAAAAGAATATTCAAAGATTATATTCCCAAATATGTTGAAGAATATGACAAAAGAGAAAAGGTGACAAGAGATTCTTATCAAATTAACTAAAAAAAGAAATATCTAAAAAAATCGACAAATTAAATATAGTTACTACTAAGTAGGTGAAGAATATGTACAACCTTCAAAATAATAGAATTCTTTGTATAACTAAAACCAAAGAACACTGCTAAAGGCTCAGTTATATTTTGAAGTGTCTGGTTATTTTGCTGATAATCTTTTGATCATGTTACTTCATTATATAATCAAGGTATTGTTCTATTATATTGTTAATTATATCATTTGTATAGCCATAATTAGTAAATAATTAGATTTTAATTAGTCCATATTCTAATAATTGTTTATATGCATATATTGGCTTCTTTACAATATAATAGTTAAATTGTTATTGTTTTAGCTATGATAATATGGTATCACTCTTTAGTATTTCTATAGTTAACAATTTTTCTAAGTATTTGAATATTCTACTTTTTTTCAGTTTAGGAAAAATTTTAAGATATTTAGTTTCAGTAGCTTTGGTTAGCCTTTTCTTGATTCATAATAGGAATTTTAGATTTTTGTTTAGTATTTCCATTTTATTAGTATAAAATTTTCTAATTGATATATTTTTTCTGGTTCTAACAAGTTGGTGTTGTTTATTAAAAATATGTCTATTATTATTGCTCTTTCAAGTGTTATTTGTTCAATGTTGTCATATTCTTTTTCTGAATCACATTCTTCTTGAGTTAATGTTAATAAAATAGGCATTAATAATTTGTATATTAAAATCTATTCAAATATTACTTCTAAATTCTTTTCTAGTACTGGTACTAATAAGAATTGTTTTGCTTGTTGTTTTGTGTAAAAATTAAAGTGTTTATATTTTTTGGGTTCTTTATTTTTAAAATATTGTTCTTCTAGATATGGATGTATAAAAGTAACTATTTCTGATAGAAATCCATATTTTTCTTCTGTTGGTTTATATATTGATCTTGCTACTTCTAAAGCAAATCTTTTCTGTATTTCTAGTCCTATTTTTTTATAAACTTTTTGAATTCCTGTTACTATTTCTTTTTCATCTTCTTGTGCATGTCCTCTTGGTAAATTATAATATCCATAATATTATTGGATAATATTGTTTCATAGTCCTAAGAGGATCATTGGTTCAGGTTTAGTAGTAAATATTATTACAATTACTACTCTGATGGTTTTATTTTTAGGTGTTTGTAATTTTATTCTAGTCTTTTAAATTTTAATAATAGGTTATTATTTTTGTATTTATCTAAAAAAAAGTAGTCTCACTTTATTCTTTCTGGATTTTGGTTTTTAAGAATTTCTAGATCTACTAAGTTTGTTTTGAGATATTTTATAAAGTCAAATTGTGGCTCTTTTTCTTTTAAGATATTGAAGTTCTGTATGAACATTTTATATTCGAATCTTGCTTCTTGTAACTTATATTGGTGATATTCGTTGTATGCTTAGTTATGCCATAATTCAAATATCATATATGTCTTGTGACTTTTTCTTTGAGTTCTTTGTATTTTTTATAGTGTTTTTCTTCTTTATAAAATAGTTCTCTGATTATTGATTTGTTTGTTTTTGTAGTCTTTTAGAATTATTTTCTTATATTCATTTATTTTTTCTAATAAATCTTCTAATTTTTGTTTTTTTAGAGAGAATTTGTATTGTATTTGTTCTTTAAATTTTTCTATGTTTTTTACTAATCTGTTTCGTTTTGGTATAAATTCTTTTGTGAATTCATTCTCTAGGAATTTGATCTTGTTTTTGGTATTTTTATAAATTCTATTTTTTTCTTCAAATTGCTCTTTTATTTCTTTATATAATTTTCTTTGTTTTTCTTTGGGTGTTAGTGTTCTAGAAAGATTTTTTTTTCTTTTGTTGTTAATAATAGATTGTTTCAAAAGTCAATCTGATCTTGGTTAGTTGTATTCATAAAGATAGTAATAAAATGATCTGTGATGTTTTAGATTTTCTGTTAAATAGATTTTGTTGTTATTTGCTTTAATATATTGGAAATTTGCAGAATAAAGTGTTAGGGCTCCTTCTAGTTCTGTGAAAGTTTCTTGTTTATTTAAGTTTTCACTATTCTGATATGTGCTAAATTTTTCTTATATATTTTCTTGCATCTTTTTTGCAATCTTTTTAAAAGTTGTGATTGCCTTTATTCACTATATGTGGTAGTTTGTAAGCTATTAATTTTTTTTTCTTCAGTTTTTACTTCTTTGTAGAGTTTTTTAAGTTTTTGAGTTGCTTTTCTAGATCTAGATTTATTGGGTCTTATAAATAAATGTGTTTATCTTCTTCATATTCTTTTAATAGTTCATTAAAGAATTCAGTTATTTATAATAGAATTTGAAATTTCTTTTGCTATTTTCTTATATATTTCTATTAGTGAATAGATAATATATTTAATTATTTTATATATTACTTTTTGCTTTTTACTGTTTTCTTTTAATTTTGTAATTAGGTCAGTGTATCCTAGTAGAAAAACTTTTTCTTCGATTAACCTTTCTATTAATTTCTGGTAGAATAATTGTTGATCTTTATTGTTTAGCTTTAATGCTATTTGTAGGTTGGTTACTATATTCTGGTAATATATTGCTTTGTCATATCTTTTTCTAATTATTTCTTTAGTCATGAACAGTTTTCTATTTGGATTTTAATTTCAGTGTCTTTGTTTAAATAATCATAATTGTAATTAGAATATTTTGATTTATCTGTCCTTTGGTATTTTCTTAATCTTGCTCTATAGAATCTTGTAAGTTATTTATATTGATTTGCTATTTTGTCTTCTTTTTTGTATTTCTTATATATATAGATATATTTTTCTGATTGAAACTTTACTAGTAGTAAGTTGCTTACTGATTGTTGTAATTTAATTAGTTCTAAGAATTTTTTATTTGTGAAGGTGTTGATTAAGTCTAATCCTTTTTCTTCTAATTTAGGTATTTCTTTTAGGCTTATTTCTAAGAGTATTGCTATTAGTTTATTATAATATCTGTATATTTTATTTTCTATTAGAATATCACAAGGTTTTAATAGATTTTCAATATATTGTATTGCTTGCAGATCTTTAAGGTCTTGTAATGTTATTTGTCCATATACTATATATTTCCTGTTGTGATATTTAATAATATATTGTTTTTGGTTCATTTAGAGTTAAAGGCTGTTTGGGTTAAAACATTAACTTTTACTTGTTGTTTTGAAAAGTCAAATAGTTTTTGAACTAATTCTTCTGAGTCATTTAATAAATCATCTCTTGGTAGTACTTTTTTTATTGTAAGATATTCTTCTAATATATATAAAAGTAGATCAATTGTTTATACTAAATATAGTAATAAGATTCATCCTAATTATAGTCTAATGTTAAGACTTAGATTTATTATAAGTTGTTTAATATTGTTAAGTTCTTCTACTGCTATTGCTTTTTCTAAAAGGTTATAGTATGCTCCTTCTATTAGGATATAGTTTCTGTATAAGTTATATGCAAGAGTTTGTATTAATTATAATAATGATAAGATAATTCCAATCTTAGATTTGTTAGATAATTGAAGTCATTGTTGTTGTCATTATATTAGAAAGATTAATTTATGTGCAATCTTATTAATTGGTTATTGATGTAGTATTTCTTTTTTTTTATCTATATTTCTGATTATTATTGTATTTGTTGGTAATTTTTATATCTATAATCTTTTTAAAAATATCTATATCTGAATAATGGTCTACTTATTAAAAATGTTGTTAAACTAAAGTTATCAAGCTATCTAATAATAGTATTACAGTATCTTTTGTTGGTGGTAGCCAATTAGGTATTTCTTTTTGGCTTTTTTGTAAGGTTGGATTATTTGGTGATAATTGTGCAAATAGATTTCCTATTTTTGTTCTGATTATTTTAGATATTTCTTCTGAATGTCATCTTGTTGTAAGAGTTTAAATGTTATTATATATTGTATTATTGCATCAGTCTATATCTTCTTGTTTTCTAAAAGTATATTTTAATAATATAGTTGCTTTGAATTATATACAAAAACTTAATATTTCGTATAAGAGTGTTTTGTTATATTGAGTTGTCATGCAACTAGTTCTTGGTCAATTTTTTTTTTTAAGTTTGTCTTTATGTTTTGCAATTAGTTGTATTCTAATAGTATCATTTTCTAGTATAGATGTAAATACTTTGAATAAATTATATTTTTCAGTAATTACATAAATGTGAGAATATTTTCAGTTTTCTTTTATATATAGAAAATATGTTGTTTCAAGTTCTTTAATTAAGTTTTTGAGTTGTTTATAAGTTTTACAATATTCTATTTTTCTAAATATTTCTGCAATATCTTCAGTATCTTCAAATTGGTAATCTTTTTCTTTATAATATTCAAATGCATTTAATAATGCTTGTACTGTTCCTTCTTCTATTGATAAGGGTGTATCATTTAGTTTATTTTTTGTTTTTAGAATTAAATAATTAGTTATTTACACTTTGAATAAATGATGTTGTGCAATATAATGATCTTTTTTAATAATAACATAGTTTTTTTCTAGAATAGTGCTTATTTATTTGAGTTGTAAATTAATTCTTTGAGTTCTTCAATAATATTTTAAGTAAATATTAATATTGAAAATAAATGTTGTTTTGATTCTTCAATAAGTTTTGTTGTAAATTAATAGGTTGATCTCCTATATGTTGTTTAAAGTCTTTTAATAATTCAAGATTGATGTTAATATGTTGAATAGCATTTGTAATTTTTTGAGAGCTATATTTGATCTGATATGTAAGTAAAGATTTAGTATCTTCAAATAGCTTAGTAAAGTTTTTTTCTTGAGTTTGGTTTAAAATATTGGCTTCAAATGTTATGAAGTAGTTGAGAATAATTCTGTATTCTTAGTTGACTTCTAATCCAATTTATTGTTTAATAGGAATTGTTGTTGTCATAAAAGTAAAGAATCTGTTTAATAAATAATAGAAATCAGCTTATTCCTTGATATTTTTATATTGTTTTAAGAATTTTTGTTTTCTAGTTTGTCCTTTATGCAGTCCTCTTTTCTCTGATTTTTTTTTCAAAAGTACAATTGATATTTTCTTTAATACAAAAGGTACAATATTGTTGTCTATTTGGTATATAACAATAGGTTTTCTTTATTTTGCAATTATCACAAGCATTTAGTAAATAACTATATAGTGCTTAGGTTCTGAACATTCACTTATTTTAGTATCTTGTATTGTATTAAGTTGATTGTCTAATTCTGTATAGTTATAGACTTCATTTAGTAATCTGAAGATTTCTTCAGCTTCTTTTATTGCTTGTTTAAGAACTTGCTTAGCTTCAAATATTTTATCAAGAACTTTGGTTTTATCTTTGAGTTTAAATTTTTGTTACAATATTTTTCTGCTAATTTACAGTAAGTACAAGGTATTTTGAGATTACAAGATAATTCTTTTTGTATACAATATTTGCAAGTAGTATATCTTTTATGATTCTTTACTTTGTGTATCTTGGACATGTTAGAGGCTAGTCCTCAAGCATGTCTTTAAATAATATTTTCTTATTTTTAAATATTACACTAATTTATAATTTATAATGCTAAATATAGTAATATTAAAATATATTATTGAATATATTAAAAGTTTGAAAAGTAAATAACTAATAAATATTAATAAATTTTCAGATTCTTCTACAATTAAGATTCTAGTATTAGGTGTTTAATCCTATATACTATTGATGTTATCATATTGTGCCATTTCATTAGCAATGTGTTCATTAAATACTCTAATAAATTTATAGTCTATTGGAAAGGTCTTAATTTTTTGTTTCAAGGTTTCTTCTTCTTGCATCCTTTTGGTATTGGTATAATGGAATTGTTGCACTTTATCTTTATAGTAAAGTGTTTTCAAATTATCATATTTTCATTTAAGTTGTTCATTACATGCTAGGCTTTCTGCTAATAAGGCTTCAGTATATTTTGCTCTTTCTGCAAGAGTTGTTATTACATTGGTTTGTGCTTTAAATTTTTAATTAATTAAATCTAATACTTTGAGTTAATTCTTTTTCATAAATTCAAATCATTGTTGAATGTCTATTAGTTCTAATTCAAATGTTAATATATTTGAATGAATTAACTCTTCTTCTAGAGTGTCTTTAGTCAAATTATTGATTTCTTCTTTAAAGTCAGGGTTAGAGAATGCATTTTGTAATTTTTGTAATGGGTGCAAAACAGTTGTTTACTTGTATTTGTAATGTTTTCTTCTTTAAGTTTTTGTATTCTATTAGGTTGAGTTTTATGTTTTTCAGGATCATAACATTTATGACATTGTTGTTTGATT